CTGGTCTTGAGCTGCAGGTGTTTCTGTATGATAGAATAAGATAAGGTTAGAGAAACAACAGTTAACATATAAAAAACTATGAATATATAGATGCAAATACACTACATGACCAAAGGTATGTGGACATCTGCTCGTCGAACAACTCATTCCAAAATCATGGGCATTAATATGGAGTTGGTCCCCCCTTTACTGCTTTAACAGCCTCCACTCTTATGGGAAGGCTTTCCACAGATGTTCCACAAATGTTGGAACATTACTGCGGGGACTTGCTTCCATTCAGCCACAAGAGCAGTAGTGAGAACAGGCACTGATGTTGGGCGATTAGGCCTGGCTCGCAGTCTGCGTTCCAATTCATCCCAAAGGTGTTCGATGGGGTTGAGGTCAGGGCTCTGTGCAGGGCAGTCAAGTTCTTCCACACAGACCTCAACAAACCATTTCTGTATGGACCTCGCTTTGTGCACGGGGGCATTGTCATGCTGAAACAGGAAAGGGCCTTCCCCAAACTTTTGCCACAAAGTTGGAAGCATAGAATCGTCTAGAATGTCAATGTATGCTGTAGCGTTAAGATTTCCCTCCATTGGAACTAAGGGACCGAGCCCGAACCATGAAAAACAGCCCCAGACCATTATTCCGCCTCCACCAAACTTTACAGTTGCTGCTATGCATTGGGGCAGGTTGCATTCTCCTGGCATCTGCCAAACTCAGATTCGTCCGTTGGACTGCCAGATGGTGAAGCGTGATTCATCACTTCAGAGAACGCATTTCCACTGCTCCAGAGTCCAATGGCGGCAAGCTTTACACCACTCCAGCCGACGCTTGGCATTGCGCATGGTGATCTTAGGCTTGTGTAGGGCTCTTGGCCATGGAAACCCATTTCATGAAGCTCCTGATGAACAGTTCTTGTGCTGACGTTGCTTCCAGAGGCAGTTTGGAACTCTGTAGTAAGTGTTGCAACTGAGGACAGACGATTTTTACGAGCTACGTGCTTCAGCACTCAGCTGTCCCGTTGTGTGAGCTTGTGTGGCCTACCACTTCGTGTTGTTGCTCCTTGAAGTTTCCACTTCACAATAACAGCACTTACAGTTGACCGGGACAGCTCTAGCAGGGCAGAAATTTGACGATCTAACTTGTAGGAAAATAATAAAAATACTATGCCATTTAGCAGACACTTTTATCCAAAGCGACTTACAGTCATGCGTGCATACATTTTTGGAAAGGTGGCATCCTATGACGGTGCCACATTGAAAGTCACTGAGCTCTTCAGTAAGGCCATTCTGCTGCCAATGTATGTCTATGGAGATTGCATGGCTGTGTGCTCGATTTTATACACCTGTCAGCAACGGGTGTGGCTGAAATAGCCGAATCCATTTAATTTCATGTGGTGTCCACTTTTGTATATATAGTGTAAATTGACATGTAGTTGCCATCACCTGAATAGTCGAGCTAGACACACCACAGGCTTAACACACACATACACCTGTTTGACCGCTTAACTACGCAGGGTTAACACGGACACCTCCACAGTTCACACACACCTACACACACACCTGTATGGCCGAGCTGAGTTCCTCGGGGTCCAGAGAGGCTCCGTAAACATCCCAGGTCAGCCCGTCTTCATCCCACTGCACCTGCTTCATACTACTCCTCCTCTTGCTGTGATCCCTCTCTCCACTCCTCCTCCTCTCCTCCTCTTGTACCACCACTTTCAGACAGGACCTCCTCCTCCCCATCTCCCCCACTACGGCAGAGCTGCTCTCCTCCCACGCCGCCTCCTCCTCCCACCCCTCTCTGGGGCTGTCCAGTGGGAACATACTGGAAGAGGGCGACACCAGGTTGGAGTGGGAGCCTAGCGATGACCTCAGGTTCAATCTTGACCCCGGAGGGGACCCCAAGATGGACTGTGAACCTAGATAAGAATTGGATCCCATGAAGGAGTAGGACTGAGGGGGAGACCCCAGATTAGTGTCCGACCCATGATCCTTTAGGGAGCTCTGGAGGGACCTAAAGTTTAACCTTGACCCTAGATGTGACCCCGCCTGCACCCCGACCTCCACCAGCTCCCTCTGTGATGTCATTGTCCCCTCCTCCCTGAACCCTGACCCCTGGGGTAATGATGTCATCAAGTTCATGACCCCTGAGTAGGCGGAGTTACAGGAGCAGCGGGGGCAGCCGTCCAATCGTGAGTCGCTGAGGGAGGAGACTAAACCCGCCGATCTCTGACTTCTGCCAGACGGACAGGTGAGCCTCTGTGACCATGACAATGCCAGGTGAGCAGGAGGGCTGGGGAAGAACACCTGAGGGTCCATCTCCACTTCTTGCTGCTGTACAGGGCTACCCAGGCAAACACCCAGGGGCTGTGTGTTGTTGTTAGGGCTGGCTATGGGGCTAAGGATAGGGGGCTTCTCTCCATAGTACGTCCCCACAGGGGTGCACCCTGGCTGGGGTGGGATCTGCTCACTGCTGCCCCTCTCCTCCAGACCTTCCACACCCTGAGCTCTACAGGAAGGAGAGGGGAAGGGGGAGGGAAAGGGGGAAGAGGGATGGTTGTTGGGGGAATAGGCCTCGTCTGTGTAAGGATTTGGTCGGCATCCTGTAGGGGTCAGGGGTGAGGGTAGGCATGATATTACAGCGAGGGGTGATGGTAGAGGTGAGGTTACAGGTAGGGGTGATTTTACGGGTAGGGGTGAGGACACAGGTGAGGGTGTGTGTGTCTGACAGGGTGTGTCTGCGGTAAGGGGTGACGGTCTGTATTGGAGTTGGGGTAGGTTGTGGCGTGTGTGTAGGGTTGGGCTGTGAGTGGGTGTGTTTAGGGGTGAGGTGAAGGGTGAGGGTGTAGCAGGTGTTTGTATGGAAGACTGAGACTCTGAAGCCAGTCTGGAGCAGCGAGCGGAGTACAGGATGCACGGGGTCTCCTCAGTCATACTCCCTCCCTTCCATATGACCGTCTCTGGTGTGCTACCACCGCTACACACACTGCCGCTACACACACTCCAACTCGCCACACTCTCGTTACTAAGGGGAGATCCGTGCCCGTGTATGTTTTGAGACGTATGTGAGTGTGAGGGTGTGTGTTGTTGTCTGTATTGCTGTAGGGGTGTGAGCTTTGGTGTGTGTGTGTTTGAGGAGGAGTGTGTATTTTGGCTGGCGCTCCGTCTCAGCTCCAGTTTTGCCCACGCCGGGTCTCGCAGATGCGGGTGTTTGGTTGCCATGACTACATCCATGGAGCTCTTGGAGAGGGAGTAGATGGGTGAGCGTTCCTCCTCTTCCTCTTCCTCTTCTTTTCTCTCCGTCCTGAGTCCGCCTGTTGATCCAAAATGGCCGCTGACAGGGGGCAAGTGCTCCGATGACAGACGCCAGTGCCTCGCCATGACAACAACACTGACAAATAGGAAGAAGGGATCAATCAATCTTCCAGCAGTGGCCTGGTTGTTTGTTCTACTCAGGTTGTCTTGTCTTGAAGAAACTGGAGAAAGACTGGAATAAATACATTATTTCATCTTTCTTTCTTTCCCTCCTCTCCCTCTCGTTCTCTCTTCCTCCATAAACCCTTCCTATCAGATGCTCTCTGACACTTCTCTTCCTCTCTGGTAACACACACACACGTACACTGTCCAGATTAGCCTTCGGTAATAAGATTACAGGGTCCAGATTATTAGATTATTTAGTAAAACGTGGGATTGAGCTGAAGTTAAGAGAGCCTTTAGCCCTCACAGGTGACCACTTCCTCCATCTTCCTCCCTTCTGTCTTTCGACTCCCTTCCTTCCTTTCTCTTCCTCTCTCTCCCTTCAATGGAGGGAGAGACAAAGAGAGAGAGAATAAAGAGGAGAAGAATAACAGGCTCCTGGAAACAATTAGAGTCAATTTAGCTCTTTGAATCCTATTATTGAGTTAGCAATGAGAATAAAAAATTTTAAAAACACAAAGCCACACACCCACACTATCTGAGTGTGCGTCCTATGTACATGCCAGTCAGTGTGTGTGAATCTGTTAAACCCTGCAGATGGCTGAGGAGCTTTGTCAGACTCCCTGCTAAACGCCACATCTCTTCTCTCCCCTGTCTCTCTTGCCCAAGCTGAACTCACCTTAGAAATGCTATGAGCCGGTTTCCCACACCCAGATTAAACCTATTCCTAGGAGTAGGGTTAATCTGGGTCCCGGAAACTGACCCTGTACACACAAACACTTACTCTTTCCCAACACTAGGATGCACACACGCACCCACACAGGTTCAGTATTGTTTCTTACCTTTATAAGTCCACGATGAGCCCTCACTTAATGTCTTCTCTCTCAATTTTGCTCTCTTGCTCTATTCTTCTATTACAGATACTCTGTTCACATTACCTTCCCCTCTCTCTCACACTCATTCTATCCTTTCCTCTCTTTCTCTATCTGTCTCGCTCTATAACTCTCTCGCGCTCTCTCTCTCTGAACCCAAGATGGAGGCCAGGTGGCTAAGTGCGTGTGTGCATGCGTGTTAGCTGTAGCGTTAGCCTTAGCCCTAAGGATTAGCATCTTGTCATCTCATTAGCTGTAGCTCTGCTCTCTCAGACTGACCAATCCCTGTGCAGAGATTCAGTGTGTGGGTGCATGTTTGTGTGCGCGTGTGTGTGCAATGACTATTACTCAGGTGAAAAGTCTAACATTTTCCCCATGGCCCAATAAAAATTATTTGAATTTACTGAATGGGTTGACATGGTGTTGCCTGTGTGTGTGTGTGTGTGTGTGTGTGTGTGTGTGTATGTGTGTGTATATATGTGTGTGTGTGTGTGTGTGTGTGTGTGTGTGTGTGTGTGTGTGTGTGTGTGTGTGTGTGTGTGTGTGTGTGTGTGTGTGTGTGTGTGTGTGTGTGTGTGTGTGTGTGTGTGTGTGTGTGTGTGTGTGTGTGTGTGTGTGTGTGTGTGTTTGTCTGTATCTGTGTGTGGCCTTGAGTCTGTGAGGCCCAGAGTCCTGAAGTTAGGGGTGGGAAGGCAACAGCTGTATCTTACATTCAATACCGTCTGGTTTACAGACTGGAGCTGTGTATGGGAATACACTGGAGTACTACCTTGATTTATATTCAACTTATTCCTACCTGAACCTATATCGTCTGTAGCAGTGAAAAACAGCAGAGGAGAAAGAGAGCAATAATGTGGAGTGTAATGACAGTGTAATGACTGAAGGGTCAAGAAATACAGGGAGAGAGACATGGCTGGTGAGTAAAAATACTGGACAGAACCCAATTCACCCTCTTTCTCCTTCCATTCAACTTTATCTGAAGTTAACTTTACAGTTTTACTCAGAAATAATTGTTTATAGATGTGAAGAATACAACTTACATTATTGTGCACAATTCAGCCAGGCAGAGAGATTGACAGGCAAACAGACATAAAACAGACATACCCCTTGACTTATTCCACATTTTGTTGTGTTAAAGCCTGGATTAAATTGATTAAATAAATACAAATCTCGACCATCTACATACAATACCCCATAATGACTAAGTGAAAATATATTTTTAGATTATTTTGTTGAAAATGAAATACAGAAATATCTCATTTACATAAGTATTCACACCTCTTTGCTATGACAATCCAAATTGAGCTCAGGTGCATTCAATTTCCTTTGATCATTCTTGAGATGTCACTACAACTTGATTGGAGTCCACCTGTGGCCAATTCAATTGTTTGAACATGATTTAGAAAGAAAAATCTGTCTAAATAAGGTCCCACAGTTGACAGTGAATGTCAGAGCAGAAACTAGACCATGAAGTCCAAGTAACTGGCCGTAGATCTCCGAGATAGAATTGTGATGAGGCATATATCTGGGGAATGGTATAAAACAATTTCTAAAGTGTTGAAAGTTTCCAAGAGCACAGTGGTCTTCATCATTGGGAAATTGAAAAAATATGGGACTACCCAGACTGCCTAGAGCTGGCCTTCCGACCAACCTGAGCAACCAAGCAAGCAGGTCCTTGGTCAGGGAGGTGACAAAGAATCAAATGATCACTCTGACAGAACTACAGAATTCCTTGGCTGAGATAGAAGAACCTGCCAGAAGGACAACAGTCTCTACAGCACTTCAACAATCTGGGCTTTATGGGAGCGTGGTCAGACGGAAGCCACTCCTGAGAAAAAGGCACATGACAGCATGCCTGGAGTTTGCAAAAAGGCACATGAAAGACTATGAGAGCATAAGGCAAATGATTATGTGGTCTGATGAGACAAATGTAACTCTTTGGCATTTAATGCAAAGCACTATGTCTGGAGAAAACCAGGCACAGCTCATGACCTGTCTAACACCTTCCCTACCGTGAAGCAGGTAGAGGCAGCATCATGCTATGGGGATGCTTTTCAGCGGCAGGGACTGAGAAACTGGTAAGGATAGAGGGAACAATGAATGGAGCCAATTGCAGGCAAATCCTTGATGAAAACTTGCTTCAGAGTGCAAACTACCTTAGACTGGGGTGAAGATTTTCTTTCCAACAGGACAATGACTCCAAGCATACACCCAAAGCAACGCTGGAATGGCTTTAGAACAAGAATGTGAAAATCCTTGAATGGCCCAGCCAAAGCCCAGACGAATCCCATTGAAAATCTGTGGAAAGACTTGAAGATTGCTGTTCCCCATCGAACTTAACAGAGCTTGAGAAAATCTGCAAGGAAGAATGGTGAAAAATCCCCAAATCCAAATGTACAAAGCTGATACAAACATACCCAAGACGACTCAAAGCTGTAATAGCTGCCAAAGGTGCTTCTACAAAGTATTGACCCAGGGGTGTGAATACTTATGTAAATGAGATCTTTCTGTATTTAAATACATTTGCAAAAATGTGTAAAAACATGTTTTCACTTTGTCATTGCGGGGTATTGTGTGTAGATGGGTGAGAAAGGAAATCAATTTAATATATTTTGAATTCAGGCTGTAACACAACAGAATACTTTCTGAAGGCAATGTATTTCAGATCCAGCAATGTTATTGGCTGTTGGTCTGTCTTTGGGACTCTTCCTCTTGCTTCTGATTGGTGTATCTGTCTACTTCCTGTGGAGGAGGCGCGGCCAAAGACGATACCGGGAAATGGTCACCACGTCAGCCCCCTTCCCAGCGTGCACCACTCCAATTCTCCTGACCAATCAGAGATCCAGGTACAGGTGAGTGTCAGGTCACAGTCCCGCCCCTAAATGCATGTGTGTGTGTGTAGGACTGCATTCCTCTGCCCAGGTATTGCTGACGCATGCCAGATCTTACAACGCCTGGATAGGTATTTTAAGTATCAGCTAACCACATCATATGTTATAGCAATCGGTCAGTCGATGACACAGTCGATGACGTGGCACGCAACCATTAGTTGATGCATGCAACATCTGAGTAGGGGAACGCGACCTATATGTGTGTAAAGAAAAAGAGAGAAATAAGTTAGATAATGGTCGTGTTCCCCTGCTTAGACGTTGCATGCATTAACCAATGGTTGCATGCCACGTCATCGACTGTGCCGTCAGGCACCAGAGTGCTATAACATAGTGGTTAGCTGATACTAAAATAGGTCTGGCATGCGACAGCAATGTCTGAGCAGAGGAACATGACCAAAGCCACTGTGTTATTTGTAGATGTTTTGATAATTTCCTGTGCCTCTGTCTGTGATAGGCCAGATGAGATCCCATTCTTCCTGCCACCCCGATTTAAACCAACTCTCAGGAGCGAGGAGGGGGAGAAAGAGGGGCAGAAGGACTTCAGCAGCACACATCGTGGATCTCTCACAGTAGGGAGTAGGTTAGGAGGGAGGGGGGGGGGGGGGGGGGGGGGGCAACACTGTCTGTCTTTCTTCTCACCCACTCCCACTAATTGGGCTACCTTGTGCTACTTCTTCCTCTCTAGGCTGGTATCCAGTAGGTAGTGTAAGGGCAGGTCTGTACTGGGTCCCTGATGTCAGTGAGGTGTCACCCCCTCCTGGTCGCACCGTGCAACTGTGCTTCTCAGTGACCTATCACCACGACAACGAACAGCTTTATGTCTCCCTGCTCCGCCTGAGCAACTTGCCAACATGTTTCTATAGTAACGACACACTGGCAGAACTGCGACTTCTCCCTGACGACCGTCGCCGACATAAGGCCAGGGCCCGATGCAGGGGTCGCGACCCCGAGTTCAACGACAGCTTTGTGTTCCAGGTACACACACAAACACACTAAATTGGTTCCTTTAACTGCCACTAGACAAAATCACCCCCCACACTCTCTCTCTCCAGGTGTCGGGTGTGTGTGTATCTGAGAGTGTGCTCAGTGTGTATGTGTTGAGTGTGGATCGGGGGGGCAGGCACCATGCGGTGGGCAGGGTTCTGTTCCCTGTTGAGGGGGAGCTGGGGGAGGGGGGCAGGCTGCTCTGGAGAGACCTAGAGACTAAGGACGAAACGCAGGTACACACACACACTCAAACATGCATGTACACAATCTCACACACACACACACACACACACAACCTGCAGTAAGTGGCTCTCTTTTTTTCTCTCTGTCAGTGTTCAGGTCTGGGTGATATTCAGGTGTCTCTGAACTACAGTCCGTCTCTACAGCGCCTCAATGTGGTCGTACTGAGAGCACGCAGCCTGCAGATACACACTGACACAGGTGAGTGTGTAAGAGTGTGTGTGTCTGCATAAATGTGTGTGGTCTGTTATCAGGGTGATTGTATGTATTCTGTTTTCAGGCGTGTGTTTCCAGGTGAGCCTACAGATCCACACTCAGGTAGTGAAATCCAGATGGACGCCAGTGGTTAGTGGTGGAGCTGACCCTGGCTTCAACCACAAGATGACCTTTAAGCTCCGCCCCTCTCAGCTCGACCAGGCCTGTCTGAGCTTGGAGCTGATTGGATCAGGCCTTACCCCAGTAGGTGTGGTGGTGCTGGGGCCGTTCATGTATGCCAGGGGGCCTCAGCTTCAGCACTGGACTGACATGGTCAACACACCCAACGAACTGGTCAAACAGTGGCATGGACTGGGCAAGCCCACATAACACACACACACACACACACACAGCAAGATACAAATTCATTTAATTGTCAACATTTTTCACCTCTTTCACAATAAATCAATGATTTACTCCATCTTTCTTGTTGTTTTTGTGGTAATTGAGCACTTACAGGAACGTGTGTATAAATGATTTGACAAACACTACAAAAAGAAAAAAATAATGTATTTACAAAACAGATTTTCTCACATAGTTGTGGTTTAAAGGTCCAATGCAGCCAATTTTATCTCAATATCAAATAATTTCTGGGTAACAATTAAGTACATTACTATAATTGTTTTCAATTAAAATGGCCAAAAATAAAGAAAAATTGCTTTTTAGCAAAGAGCAATTTCTCAAGCAAGATTTTTGCTAGGACTGTCTGGGAGAGGGAAGAGTGGGAAGAGGAAAAGTGAAAATGAGCTGTTATTGGTCTATTAACTAATTTACCACATGGTGATGCAACCGTGGAAGGCCAAAACTCCCTCCCAGCTCTTACACTAAAAGGGCATTATCATAATTTGCACAATATTATTCAAACCTCAGTGTGGAAATATATACACTGCCTTCAGAAAGTATTCACACCACTTATCTCTTCCACATTTTGTTGTGTTACAGCCTGAATTTGGTGTCACTGGCCTACACACAATACCCCATAATGTCAAAGTGGAATTATGTTTTTTGAAATGTTTACAAATTAATTTAAAATGAATAGCTGAATTGTCTTGAGTCAATAAGTATTCAATCCATTTGTTATGGCAAGCCTAAATTAGTTCAAAAGTAAAATGTTGCTTAACAAGTCACATAGTAAGTAGGATGGGCTCACTCTGTGTGTAATAATAGTGTTTAACATGATTTTTGAATGACTCCCTCATCTCTGTACCCCACACATACAATTATCTGTAAGGTCCCTCAGTCGAGCAGTGAACCACAAAGACCAGGGAGGTTTTCCAATGCCTCGCAAAGAAGGGCACATATTGGTAGATGGGTAAAAATACAAAAAAGCAGACATTGCATATCCCTTTGAGCATGGTGAAGTTATTAATTACACTTTGGATGGTGTATCAATACACCCAGTCACTACAAAGATACAGGCGTCCTTCCTAACTCAGTTGCCGGAGAAGAAGGAAACTGCTCAGGTATTTCACCATGAGGCCAATGGTCACTTTAAAACAGTTACAGAGTTTAATGGCTGTGACAGGAGAAAATGGAGTTACTCCACAATTCTAACCTAATTGACAGAGTGAAAAGAAGGAAACCTGTACAAAATAAAAATATTAGTCTCCCGAGTGGCGCAGTGGACTAAGGCACTGCATCGCGGTGCTAGCTGTGCCACTAGAGAGCCTGGTTTGAATCCAGGCTCTGTCGTATCCGGCTGTGACCGGGAGACCCATGGGGTGGTGCACAATTGGCCCAGGGTAGGGGAGGGAATGGCCGGCAGGGATGTAGCTCAGTTGGTAGAGCATGGCGTTTGCAACGCCAGGGTTGTGGGTTCGATTCCCACGGGGGGCCAGTATAAAATAATAATGTATGCACTCACTAACTGTAAGTCGCTCTGGATAAGAGCGTCTGCTAAATGTAATTACGAAACATGCATTATGTTTGCAACAAGGTACTAAAGTAAAAGCAATTAACTTTTTGTCCTGAATACAACACGTTACGTTTGGGGAAAATCCAATACAACACATTACTGAGTACCACTCTCCATATTTTCAAGCATAGTGGTGGCTGCATCATGTTATGGGTATGCTTGTCATCGTTAAGGACTGAGGAGTTTTTCAGGATAAAAAAGAAATAGAATGGAGCTAAGCACAGGCAAAATCCTAGAGGAAAAACTGGTTCAGTTTGTTTTCCACCAGACATTGGGAGATTAATTTAACTTTTTGAAAAGAATAATGGGCAAATGTTGCACAATCCAGGTGTGCAAAGCTCTTAGAGACTTACCCAGAAAGATTCACAGCTGTAATCGTTGCCAAAGGTGATTCTAACATGCATTGACACAGGGGGTTGAATACTTATGTAATCAAGATATATTAGTGGTTTATGTTTCATAAATGTTCTTCCACTTTGACATTACAGAGTATTTTGTGTAGATCATTGACAGAAAAATTAGAACTAAATTCATTTTAATTCCACTTTGTAACACAACCACATTTGGAAAAAGTCAAGGGGTGTGAATACTTTCTGAAGGTACTGTACAAGTCGTGATATACTCTACTTGGGTTCCACATTACACTGAAGTGTTTGGCCTCACCCACAAGTAACTGTCATCAGAGCCCTATACCTAAGAATCAGGTTTGAGGAGTTACAGAGGTAACTTTGGTAAACTCTGAGTTCAATTGGGATAACCGGTACCACAAGTGGCTCACCTTTTAGCCAGATACATTTCCATGGCAACGAATCTTTCAGAACAAACCTGATCCGGGGCAGGCTAATTTAGGGCTAACTCCATTTATCCTGAATGAAGTGTCTAAACTGCGAGTTGAGGATCAATGAAATCAGATTCCCTCCCTTTCGCAAAGAATGCGTCATCCCCTTCATTTGAGGAAGATGACTGATTATATGATAAATATTTTATTAATCAAATGTTTGTTTATGTGCAAAAAAAATGCGATGTCAAAATACCTATCACATTACACATGTAGGCCTATTAAATCAGATCAAGCGTTAATCGGCGATAGCAGACACCCGCATAGAGGATGTTTTGACGATGTTGGAGGTGGAAATGCCTCAAGCCATCAAATTGGTGACCAGCTGCTCTTGTGATCAGTGAGGGGTTTCAATTAATCTCGCCTGGGCGATTGTGTAGGTGTGTTTTGCGCCGGCTGAAAGTTGATTGCATTTGATTTGGAGGCGAAGATGGCCCAAAACAAAAGTGACGTTATTAAGCATGTGTAGTAATGAGTACGATTCTGTATTGTCACATGCAAAAGGGATTGCTTTTGATAAAAACGCTTTATCTGCCGTCCCAATTCAAACATTTATTTTATGGAAAACAGATGTATGTTTCTGGATGATGCACATGCTGCCTTGTTGACAACATTCAATTTGAGAAGGGCGCTCCTCCCTGACCACTTTTCGCCTGTTCACGTCACGAGCCATAGACCGGTGCCCAGCGGCTCAGAATAATCGAATCCGCCCAGTGTCACGAAGACGCCACACCCGTCCCACTCACGTTACGGCCCGTGTACACTAGGGGCGAACCGTGCGGTGAAACACCAATTCCCATTCATTTTCAATGGAAGGAAAGCGGTGAGAAGCGGATTTGGCGGGGGATCATTGGGCGGTGCGAACGTGGCATGGAAGGTATTGAAAAAGTTCATAATTTCCCAACTTTATGCAAATCACCAGCGGCGAATGCTGGGCGATAATCAATCATATCGAGTGGCTCCCATGATGAATTTGAAGCTCTGCGACCCAACGCTTCAGCAAAGATTGCTAACAAAAATACTAGGATGGAAGGAAATGTAAGTAATTATAATTTCATAACGAATCATGCAAAACATTTACAGTTGAGAGGAATATGTTAGTTAATTTAGAGACAAACGATTATAGGGCTGTCCCCAACTAAAAAAATCTTAGTGACCGAAAGTCGTCTGTTCTTCGACCAATTGATTGGTCTAAATTTTTTTACGTGTATTTTTCTTATATAGACAGTGGCATGCATTCATGGAGGCCAAGGGAAGCCAGGCTTCCCCAAAAAATTGACCAAGAAAAAAAACTAAAAAGCATATCAAATAATTTATCTTTCGTCTCTCTGTGTTTTCATTATTTTCCTTCAATTCGCAAGAGCCTGAATGTATCTCACCTGAGAAAGCATCCGAGATGGCTAGCTAGCAAGCTAAAATTGGCCATTTCCTTAATTAGTCATGGATGGAGATAGGGATTTGGTTTTACATCATTCTCTGTACTGGCCAACATGGGCGGTGTGTTCAATAGGGCGATATGGGCGACGCACTGCCAAACGGGAAAAGGAAGGGATTTTTTTTCTAATCAATTATATCATGGCAACAGTAGTTCAGTGTTCACGTCTGATCTGCCAGCCACTAAATGTCCAATCAGGCTAAAGTCGTGCTTCAAATGTCCCCGCCCGTTTTGGGGCGATTTCAGTCAGGTTGAAAATCGCCCAGAAGTCTCTCATAGCCTCTAATGTAAAATATTTTTTTTTCAAATTTCTGAGCTTTCAATACATTCTCTATGGGTGTCTGAGGGCTTGCACTTACGCGCTTTCGTCATACGTAACGTAACGTAACCATGAACGGCAGACAGCAACGCTTGGACAGCGACTGGTGTAACCGACATGCACCATCTTTCAGAAAAGATTAAGAAAAATGAGCTGTCAAAGACCCACATTGATAGCTGTTTGAGATTGTCTGCTTTGGTGAGAGTGAATATTGCCACTCAACTGGATGAGGGATACAGGCTAGCTGTCCGCCGCCACAACGATGAGGTTAGCAACAGCAGAGTCGTGAACACTGTCTACGAGAATCGAGACGACCTCATAGAATGTTTTGAAGCCATCCGGACGGGTTCATTGGGTTCATTTGACCAGCCCACCGTACCAGAAGCTACAGAATAAGGACATCGATGCTGTCTTTATCAAACGTGCCCTCGACAGCTTCGCAAGCAGTGTGCAGGCCATAAGGTAAGATAAAGATTAAACAATATCATTCGATCTTTCTCAAAGCAGAGCTTTATTTGAAAATGTATGCATGAAAGGAGACTGCATTTGTGTTTGAAATTACATTATTGTCATTATATATGGCCAGTGGTGTAATCTATCTTATTTTATATACTATGTGTACTGTACAGTGGTGCTCATAAGTGTATGAACACATTCTAAAGCTGACTAAAAAGAGGAATAAAAAAATAAACAAATCTGTTCATGTTCATTTTTACAAATCTATACAATTGGCCAGAATATGGTTGTTCATATTTACAAATCTATACAATTGGCCAGAATATGGTTGTTCATTTTTACAAAGCCATACATATTGTTTATGCAG